TTGCACATGCATGCTTGGGCACATGTGTGTGCATGTGCGCACACCCAATTTTACACAGGATATGGGAGTGGGGATGAGAAGTGCTGGCTTCCTAGCTAACCCTTTGGTAGTTTTCTGTTCTTATAGAACCTTTGCTTCCTCTACCTTTCAGAAAGCCAAGGCTGGACCTCAGGGCTCCTACCTGCTCATCTGGCCTCTCCTCTGGGCAGTGATCTGATGCCTAAAGTTAGGGTTTGGGCCTTTCTCCCCTTCTTCATGTGCCTGTGCACATGTCTGTCTCTGGGCCAAGGACACTAGTCACATATTTCTGGACTCTAGAAGACTTAGAGCTGAAATTAGCATCCTTGCCTCATAAGGGCTCACTGAAAGCAGTGAGGGCTACTCTGAGATTCCAGTATTTAAAAAAGTGTGCCAGGCTGATTCACTCATATATTTCCTGTATAATAAAAAATGAAGAGTGGGGAGCAGAGTATTATAAAAGTAAATAAAAGCGGTGATGGGAGCAGAGTAGGCAATGGAGAAAGGAGGGCGGGGCGGCACCCAGCCTGCGGTGGCAGGGGGCGGTCCTGTGTCGGTGGAATGGGCCCTGGGAGCTGCGTGGGCGGGCCCCCGTGGTCGCAGCCTCTGTAGGCTGTTCCGGGGAAGGCAGTGGGGCTGAGGAGCTGGGAGGCGGGTGACCCAGTGGAGGCCGTGCGCTCTCTCTGGGCAGGCGAAGCATGAAGCGGAAGGCGCTGTTTACCTGTCCCTTCAGTGGGGACTGCCGCATCACGAAGGACAACCGCCGCCACTGCCAGGCCTGCCGGCTCAAGCGCTGTGTGGACATCGGCATGATGAAGGAGTGTGAGTGTTGGGCCTACCCAGGCACGTGGGTGTCGGGCTGCACGGGGGTGTGGGCACAGGCACGATCCCAGGTGCGTGGGTGTCAGGGCTGCTCAGTGGTTGAGGAAGGCTCTGGCTGCAGTGTATGCATATTTGGTCAGAGAGGTCTGCCGTTCCTCTGTAGTTGCTAGCATCTGGGGCCCCAGGCGGGGGTGAGAGTAGGACCAACAAATGGGGCAGGGCGGCCGGAACTCCAGGGGTCCTGTGAGCCTCTCTAGGATCTGTATACTGTCTAGGAGGCCTGGGAATGCACCTCCCAGGATGAGGTATGTGAGGAGGGCGAGGCAGGGTACTGCCTTCAGGAGCCCTGAAGGCCAGTATTCCTTGAACTCATCACTGTTCTCATGCTCCCTGTTCCCTGGACTGTGGGGAAAGGAAGAGCCTCAAGGACCACAGGGCTGTCTGGACTTTGGGAGAGTGGGTTGCTCTGGGTGGGGATGGGCAGCAGTGATGGGGAGAATAAATATTCAGGCTGCATTCAGGTTCTATCCCACCCCAGCCTTCCAATCAGTCTGGTTCTGGGAGCAGATCCGAGGGCCAGTGCCCAGGGGAGACCAGGCACAAAGATCCTGTGGGCAGAAGCCCTGGATTCCAGCATGACCCTCTAGATCCAGATGGAGAAAGAGGAGTGATCTGTGGAACTTCCTGTCTAGCTCTGGGCTTGGAGGAGAGGACCAGTGGGGCAGGCTCACATGTTTTAACCCACCGTTAAAAAGAGCCTCTGGACTTCGCATCCGAGCTCTAGCACCAGTTACTTCATAACCAGAGGAGCCATCGACTTCAGCAGACCCTGGGAAGGGCTAGTAAGGCCCTCCCTGGGCTGGAGGTGAGGGTGCTGGGCAGGCCTGGGTGCGGGTGCAGGCCACACGTGCAGCCTTTCTCCACCCCTTGTTCACTCCTGTCTCCAGTCTGTGCCCTGACCCCTGCCCTGGCCCTGCTAAGCTTTGGGCTTGAGGAGGCTCAGGAGGGGCATTCAGAGGCAAGCACAGAATGTGGGCTGTGTTTTGGATATGATGGGGGAGGAGATCCATAGAGAAGATGTGTCCAGAACAAGGGAAAAATCACATCCCCTTAAGGGATGGGAAAAAAAATTACCTGTTGATGGCAAGCAGAGGCAGAGTAGAGGCCCTCAGCCCTCATTTCTGATCCTGTCTCCCCAGCCAATGCTAGCAGCCCTGAAAGAACTTTCCAGGCTGTCATTCTTCCTTGCCTGCACAAGGGCATGCAGGCCTGGACACGCTGATTGCTCCCAGCCCAGCCCCCTGCCCCACCCAATTCCTGTATTTATCCTGGAGCAGTGGAGGCCAAGCCCTGGGTGCCTCATGGGGCTTCTCACATGGTGGCTTAGTGGGGCCTGCTCTGCATGAGGCACTAGCGTGGACATGAAGAGGATGCAGCATGCACAGCCATAGGACCTGCCCCTGCCCCTGCGGAGCATACAGCCTCCCCAGGCCGGGGAGCCTGGCTTCTAAGGCTCCAGCCAACCAAGAACAGCCCGTAGCTATATCACTGGGATTCAGTAAGGCTCTGCTGCAGGAGTTCCAGCCAGGGCCAGCCCGGTTCATGTCCCAGAGGCTCCTCTGCTATGTCTCAGGCAAGGTGTTTTATCAACTAGAATAGGAAGAACACTCAGAAATCTTCTCAGACCTAGAAAGATAAAAATACCAGGATTAGAATCAGAAAGCCAGTTGGGCCTAGGTTCCAACTCCGTGTCTCTAGGCTTTAAGTGCATCAAGGTGCTCCTGCCCCAGGAACAACTTGTGGTAGAGGGCCAACAGTCCAGAAGTGGGTGCCCACCCTCAAACCCCAGTCAGCTCTGTGGGGGAGGACGGAGGCTTAGTCCTCCCCCACAGAGCCCTATGCCCAGTCCTGCTATGTGCCCAGAGCAGCCTCGTGTCAATCACTCTTGAGTTGCCAGTACAAGGAGCTGAACTGAGGGAGGCATAGGCTGACGCCATTGAGCTCTCAGGGTCTAGGCCTCAGAGCTCCAGTTAAATAGAAACCTTGGGCTGTGCACCTGGCTCCTTTCTGCTGGCCTGAGGGAAGGCTCTTCGTGAAGAGCTGTAGCTCCCCTCCCTCAGGTTAGCCCAACTTTGGGAGACCTGTCAGTTTTCTTGGGCCCAGAGCCCCCAGCTCAGGACCTAGGAGAGCCACCCTTTTATCACCTGGCTGTCTGTTGTCCCCAAGGCACAGCTTCCCAGAGATAACAGAGTGTCAACATTTGTAAAACATCAGGGAACCCTGGGCTTCCTATAAAGGGAGCTGCAAACCCAGGCTCCTTTCTGCCCAGGACAAGAAAGTGGTAGTTTGCTAGAGGAAGCTTAGGGAGGGAAAGGGGCTTCATGTGGGCATGGACATTTACCAGCCACCTACTGAGTGCCAGAAACCATGCCAGACACAGATACTTGTCTTTTAAATTCTCACAGCAATCCCTAAATACACAAATATTCCTGTTATTTTATTTTAATAGATGAGAAAACTGAGAGGAATTAAAATATCATGCCTCTAAGCTGATAAGGATGCTGGTATGGGCATTCTAACCCATATCTGTTTGCTCCCAGAGGCCTGTGGGCTTCACAGCAGCATAGCCCCTTAGGTATCTGCAGCAGGCCAGAGGGTGTCCACTGTGTGCTTCCAGGCACTGCCTGGGGCCTAAGACCTGCCTTTCTCTCTCTCCAAGTCCTGGTGGCTTGATGTCCTTGGAGCCCAAGCCATTTCATGGTTGAGTTCTTGCTTCTTTTAGACCTGCCCTGCATAGAACCACTTGCATGTTTTCTTGTTTAAATGTTTTCATAAATGTGTCTTTTCTCCTCAGTGCTGGACAAGCAGCTGGCACATAGTAAGTGCTCAATAAATTGTATTGACTGATTGACTATTAACCTCGCAGTATGCTTCTTGGCATCTGTACATCTCCCACTGGTCTATGGATCAGGAAGATCTCCCAAACCTGGTAGCATCTATGTCACTCATTCGGAAAAACCTGTGTCCTCTTCCTAGATGTCATCCTTGGGCCACCAGGGGTGACTGGGACGTTTTTAGGTTGTTGGCACTTTCAGATCTTGACTCCCTACCTCGATTCTAGACCTCACAGGGCAGGGAGTGGTGTGCTCACATGGGAATAACTGTCACTATCAGGGAATCAGAAGCAAGGCAGAAAAGCTACTGAGCAGCCATGTGGGTTTCACAAAGCCCACGTACACCGCTCATGCACTTTATTCACTGGAGAGCCCTTCAAATGCTCTTTCAGAATCTGCTGCTCTTATTCTAGGTCAATGGTTTTAACTTACATGTGTCCTCTTACATAATGATAAAAGTATTTTTAGTAGCTATTCATTGAGCAAATGATTACAAAATATTTCCTGTGAAATTAATAACCCCTTTGAATACATTTGAATAAATTATTCTATAAATGATCACAACACCTGCATATGTGAGGGACTTATAACTTAATTCAGTCTCTGGACAATGTTGCCTGGAGGGTGGCCCATGGATTGGCTGCCCCTGCTTGAAACCAGCAGATCTCAACATCTTCCCTCTAGAACTGCACACAGGATGGCAACTTCTATTTGATACAAGTGACTGAGAGGAATGATGCCATAAGGTTAAATCTGAATCCTCTTAACTTTGTCCTTTTAAAGTAAATCATTTACAAACTTTGCTTATTTTGTCACAGTCTTCAAATGGATTGGAATACTTTGTGTGTTCCATAGCTGAGGACCAGGGTCCAGAAGTCGTATGGGGCATGGTTACAAGCATGGACTCTAGAACCACACTGCCCAAGCAACAACACTTGTTAGCTGTGTGACTTTGAGCAGGTATATAGCCTCTCTGGGCCTCAGTTCCCTCATCTACAAAGTGGGGATAATAGGACCCGCCTTAAGCCATTGTTACAAGGACTCAATATATGAATTAATATGTAAAAAACACTTAGAATAGTACATGACCATAAAAAAAGTTAAATATTTTATCCATTTTTACTAACACTCTTTTTTATTATGTAAAATGTGATCGCCAGGATTTCCAGTTCCCAACAGATGAGAAGTAACTCTGAAGGGAGGGAAAGCCACACTTTTAGAGGTAGGCACCAGTAAGAGACATCACCTAGCTTAACAGAGGGGGAGACTGAAAGCACAAGAACTCAACACCATAGCAGGCTGAGCTGTACAGTACACACAAACAGCCCTATACAGTCCTCAGGTCCTAATTTTGATCCTGCCAAGTCCAGTAACTGTTCAGAAGGATGCCTCTGAATCAAGAAAAGGTTACATGATGCAAAGAAATGGTTACACAGCAGAAACTGTGTCCAGAGGCACTGGGAAATGAGGTGGGAAAGTTAGGAAGAAGCTAAATCATGGAGAATCTTGAGTTTGGACGAGAGAAGCAGAATCCAGAAAAAGTTCCTAAGCAGGAGAGCGACATCATAGGATGTCAAGGGGTTATCAAAGCCCAGCCAGGCTGAGAAGTGTGCCTGTGGACGTGGACACACAGGTGCGACTGGCAGACCAGACCCCCACCTTCAGCCCGTCCCCTCCGCCCACCCTCAGGTGAGCAGGAAAGACCAGACACCTAGTCTTAGACTCCCCAGGCTAGAACGCTGTACCCTGCCTTGAATGGGATGCCCCCTGCTCCCTCCTCTCCCACCCCACTTGACCTGTGGGGTCTGGGCAGGCAGCCTCTGTGGGAAGAGGATTGGCAGCTCTTCAGGCAGGTGAGTCAGTGACCTGGGCGTGGCCTCCGCCCAACCCTCCCTTGGTAGGTTACCTCCGCTATGCAGGGAAGGCGCTGGCTTGCCTTTCCCCCTGTGCCGGAGGCTCTGGGTGCCCACTCCCAGCCCCCCGTAGGCTCTCCCCCATCTCCCACCAACTTCTGTCATCCTGCCCTGACGAGAAGGGCCTGGGCCAACGGGCCTTTCTGGAAGCCCCGAACCCGCCCTCTCTGGGGTTCCTGTTCCTTTTCCTGCCCTTGTGAAACTCCCCAGCTCTGTGGGCAGAGGTCCTGGCAGCAGTGGTACAGAGCGAGTAGCTACAGGCCGAGGGCCCTAGTGCCCACTCCTGACGTAAGCGCTCTTCAAGCCCTGGCGCCCCGCTGCTGTGCCAGGCCTCCGGCTCCTAGCCCCGCCCCGCAGCTCCGCCCCCAGGCTGCGGCTCCGCCCTCCCGGCTGCAGTTCCGTCCCGGACGCGGCCCCGCCCCTTAGGTCCCGCCCCGCAGCCCCGCCCTCACGGCGGCAGCCGGCCCCATGCAGCCCCGCCCCTGCGGCACTCCAAGCCCTGCGGCCGCACAGGGTCCCCAATCAGACCCCTGGCTAAACAGCTGAAGACGACTTCCCAGATTAGAGCGGTGAGGCGTCACCTTCAGGTACTTCTGGAGAACTCAAAACGTCCTTGGGCGGAAATTTCAAGACTGGACAGGCTAGGAGTTATTTTGCAGGGAACCAAAAGTCTTTCTGAGTTGGTCAGAGTGGATCAGATGCCTGAGTTCCATGCCTGGAAACTTGGACGTGGCAATGGCCTTGTAGAGGGGCCTTCTCAGAATCTCTTAGCTTCCGGCACTGTGACTGGCCACGCAGGGACTCTCAGCCTCTCTGCCCGGATGGGGGAGGGGAGAAGAGACGCGAACTAAAGTTTAATGAGCAGCTGGTCTGTGCTGGGCGTGCATTCAGTTCTCAAGACAATCTATCCAGGTAGGTGTTGTGCAGTGGCAGGTCACTCTGCCACCCCATATACACACATGTAATGGAGGAAGGAACAACAGAGGGACTTTAGAAGAGATTATATGGTACAAACTTCTCATTTTATAAATGAGAAGACAAAAACCTGGACAGTTAAGATGTTTGCCCAGAGTCACATAACCTATTCTTGAGAAACTGGAGTCCCTAATAATGCCCATTGGTCCCACATCTCAAGTCCTCTTTTTCCTGCTCTCACACATCTGCCTTTCCAATTTTCCATTCATACAGTGGGCTTGGAGTCCAGGGCAGAGAGGCCCCAGTGAGCTCGGAGTGAGAGGGGAGCAGCCCTGCCTCCTTGTGCCTTAATCACCAGGAGGAGGGTTTCGTGGAGGAGCTGCAGGCCCAGTCCTCTCAGCTGCCCCTTCCCGCCCCACAGTCATCCTGACGGATGAAGAGGTACAGCGCAAGCGGGAGATGATCCTGAAGCGGAAGGAGGAGGAGGCCCTGAAGGACAGTCTGCGACCCAAGCTGTCTGAGGAGCAGCAGCACATCATTGCTGTCCTGTTGGACGCCCACCACAAGACCTACGACCCCACCTATGCTGACTTCAGTCAGTTCCGGGTAGGTCTGCCCACCGGCCAGGAGGACAAGCCACTGTCGTGGAGAGCCGTGCTGCAGCCAGGGCTCAGGCAGGAGATGGAGGACCACGTCGCCTGGAACTGGGGAAGGGATGGAGGCTGCTCTGTCCTGCTGGGGCTGGGGAGGCGTCCCCTTCCCATAGGCCTTCCTTGAGGTCACTCCTGTCAGAGATCAGGGCTAGGGAAGGAAGGTGGCCCTGAAATGTGAGCTTCTGATACCCCATCTTTCCCTTCCAGCCTCCAATTCGTGGGGGTGAGGCTGCAGGGGGCCATTCCTCAAGGCCCTCCTCCAGACACATGCCCAGCTTCTCCGGGGACTCGTCCTCCTCCTGCTCAGATCACTACAACGCCTCACTAGGTAAGCAGGACTGCCACCCCCAGGGAGCCCAGTGGGGAGATGAGCCCAGAGCTTCCTACCCAACCTGTCCTTGTGGATGGAAGGATAGCACTTACATACTATGTGCCACCCAGCGTTCTTAAAACAGCCCCTTTTTTACAGAGAAGGGTAACTGTCTCAAGAGCCCATAGTGGGGAAGAGGCCAAGGTGGGGTCCAGCCAGGCAGGGTCTGCCTGCAGACTCCCTGTTCTTCCCTTTCCTCTAAGCCAGATACCTGCCCCCAGGGCAACCTGGTTTCTTTAACTGGTATTTTGAGCCTGGGTCCTTTGGATTTGTTTGCTGTGTTTTTGTTTTCTCCGGTTTTATTGAGATATAATTGACACATAGCATCATATATATGTTTCAGGTGTACAACATGATTTGATATATGTATATACTGTGAAATGATTACAACAATAAGGCTAGTTAACCTCCAACACCTCCCATAGCTACAAATGGTTTTTTCCTTGTGATGAGAACATTTAAGACCTACTCTTAGAAACTTTCAAATATACAGAACAGTGTTGTTAACTATAGGCATCAGTGCCTGGGCCTTTGGAAGGTGGAGTTTGGAGTGGGAGAACATGTGGGTCCCGTTGCAGCCCACTGCGCCCCCCCAACCCCAGCCCTGGGAGCCCTGTCACCTCCAGCCCGTCCTTGGTTTTCTTCTTATGGTCCTGCTTTGCCTCTTCATCACCTTTCCCCTTCTGCTCCCCTTGTCCTTCACTCCACGGCCTCACGCCCAGCCTGCTGCCCCCTGCTCGGGGCCTGGGAGCTAGAACCCTCAGATATGGTACTTTTGGTCTCATCAGTGGATCTGTGCCCAGAGCCAGCATAGGTGGGAGGGGTTCCACTGTCAACTGGATGAAGAGATCAGCAGAACCAGACACTGTGTCTACCCATCTGGGAGAGACAGGAGGGAGGTGGTCGGGTGCCAAGGAGAGACGCTGGCAGCTGTGTGGGCTGACTGGCCCTCAGAGCCCTTTATCTTGTTCTTTGTGCTCGATGCATTTGATGAGGACCAGTCTGCATGTTACACATTAAGCTTTTCAAAATTTCATATTATTTAAGAGTTTTGATACCTTCTTATCAGTTAATTGATTCGAAGTGCTTATTCCCACCAATGGTATATTCAGTATAGCATATATTATTTAAAAATCCAAACTAGTTAATGTTTTTAATTTTTAAAAAATTATTAAACAAAAATAATACATGTTCATTGTAGACATTCAGAAACTATAAATTACAGGTATATATTTATATATATATCCTTATATATACTTATATGTATCTTTAGTCCTACTACCCAAAGATAATCACTGTTAACACTGTCATGTAACTCATCACCATATTCTTTTTTAAACACGGTATGTATACTCAGGAATAGAATTATGCTATATTCAGTGTGGTAACTTGCTTTTTCCTCTTAATAGTATATTATATCATATTTTCTTGTCATTCGGTATACCTCTAGAATATCACTTTTAAAAGCTTCTTGGTATTCTGGACTATGAATGTACAATAACATCTCTACATCTAGCCTGTATCCCAGCTTTTCATTAAAATAATAGTATGCATGTGGCTAAATATATACACTTATTCCACATTTTTTCCTTATGATGGATTCATGGAAGTGGGATTACTGGGTAGCGTCTGCACACGTATGTACACCTACTATCAAATAGCTTTCTCGATTGCTTACAAAATGTGTGCCTCCTTTAGCACCTGGAGCACTGCCTGAGGCTGCCTGACCCCTGCATCTTTACAAATACTGGTGTCAGCATTTAAACATATTTGTTTCTGGTTTACAGATGAAAAATGTAGATGTTCTACTTTGCAGTTCCCTTGATTGCTAGTGATGTTGAACCTTGTTTACCAGAAGCTTATTGGTTCCAAATTCATTTTTGATTTGAGATCATTAAGAACAATGCCTGATCTTGGCTTGAGGAAGTCTTGTTTCTCAGAGTCTCTCTGTTCTTTCATGTTACTGCCCCAACTGCTGAAAGAAGAGACGGGGGAGTCCTAGAGGGAAGCCTGGCAGAAGCATGAACTTGGACAGAGGCAGTCACTGTAGGATTCCCAGCTGGCCCTGCTGCCAGGGCACAGGAGGTCCTCACAGGGATAAGCAGGAGGAAGCCAGGTTTAAGTACCCTTTAGTAGTTTCTTCTCTTCCCTCATCTTTTGCCAGACATGATAGAGCCATGCAGTTTTTCCAACCTGGATCTGAGTGAAGAAGAGTCAGATGACCCTTCTGTGACCCTGGGCCTGTCCCAGCTCTCCATGCTGCCCCACCTGGCTGACCTGGTCAGTTACAGCATCCAAAAGGTCATTGGCTTTGCCAAGATGATTCCAGGCTTCAGGTGAGGAGCTTCTGGGACACCTGGGGACAAGAGTCTAAATCCTAGGCTGAGTCAGAAGAAGGCTTGGAGGTCACCAATCCACTGGGTCCCCCCACATAGACTCAGAACCCACTGCAGTCCTCCTACATTAGAATCTCTAGTCTAGGCCCAGGAGTCTGTCCTTGGGGAAGTGCAGCCCATCCAATGTCACTGAGCAGCCCAGCACTAGAAAGCTATCTTTCCCCCACACTTTCTGGGTAACTGAACGGAAGCCCCAAGAGGCTCCGTGGCCAGCCAAGATCATTTTCTAATTTGAACCTGGTGTATCGGTTAAGCTCTATAGCTCCTGTTTCACTGCTGGGCCCACTGCAGCTGGCTTGGGTCTAATCTTCATGTTATTCCTTAACTTAAATCAATGTCAACCCTCCACACTCAATTCTGAAACCAGAGTGAAGTGATCAGGGAAGAAAGGGTTGGACATTGTGAAATAATGTGGAAATTCTAGAGGGACACAGATTTATTGGCATCCTTCACCCAGATTGCATGACAAGACCTTTTCCTAACCATGCAAATTCCATCTATTCATTCAAATGTGTTACTGTTTGGGTAATAATGGCATGTACTTATATTTAAAGTCATGCAGTACTAAATATTCTTAAAATAATCGAATGTTGATGCTTTTAGTAGATATGTTGGGAAGTAGTTGAAGTTATATTTATGTAATATTTATATCTTCATTCTTTCTAGAAATTCATTTGGAACTTTGCCATGCAATACACATGCAATGTGGCTGAGAAATAGAAAGAAATAGACCAATACCAAACATAATTATCATTATTTCAAGTAGCAGCAATAGTTGTGGTTGGTTATAGCTGTCAGGGCAGAATGTTTCCCAGATTCTCATGCTCAGATTCAGTGCTGGCACACTGGGGGGCCAGAGGTTATCTGACATCATCCAGCTTGGGATGGAGACCAGTGTAACATTTCGTTTATTCTTTGGGGATTTCTGTGCCATGTAGGGAAGCCATCAGCTATTGTCTACATTACTGCATTGCCGGCTAGATGATGGTAATTCACAGAGCTTAACCCAGTGCTTCCGAATTTGCTTCTGCCCTGAGACAGCTGGCTCCATGTTATTTTATGCCTCTCACCAACTCAATTAACAGGGGCTTTTCTATGCTCTTCCCCTGAAATTAATGTGAAATTATAAAGAAAAGAAAAACATCAAATGGTGTTGGGTCACCCTTACTGCATTGCACATTCTGACTGCAGCAAAAGGATGAAGGGCCACTCTGGCATCAGACAGGAGCAAGTTACTGAGTGTCACCTGTGAGCTCAGCGTCGCACTGGGCCTGGAATTTACTCCCAGAGCCTTTCCTTAGAAGAGGGACACAGTCCACTTGCTGCACGTGCCAGCTCCCTCCTGCACTCTTCAGGTCGCTGTCTGCAAATTCCATGTGTTCCAAAGTCTTGTTCTGTGTAAACAGCTAGGGGAAAAAACACCTCCAGGTGCCCATGGGTACATCCACCCTAGCTCTAGGGGGTGTCCAGTCCTTATCTACTCAGCTTCATCCTTCCTTTCCTGGCAGGGAGTTGGACAGAAGGGCCTCTTAAGTTCTGTCCACATGCTCAGGTTTGATGATTCTAAGTGGTGTCTGGGATTGCATATGTGGGAAAATTGTCCTAAAATGAAAGTCATTTGTTTAGCCACGTCACCCTGATGCAGCCCCTGCCTTAGTAACCCGAGTCCCCGTTCTCCTCCCCTGCCTTGGCCCCCTTCCTGATCCTCACCATATATACCCTGACACAAATAGCACTACCTGCCCCTCAATCTCTCTCCCCCAGGAGGAGCTCAAGTCTGCCCCCTTCCTTCCCTTCCAAGTCTGATTTCAAGAGTTCCCTAGCCAGCCCTGAGTCAGGGCCACTGTGAGGTACGTAGGAGCAGACACAGGAGCAGCCCACCTGGTGGTGCAAACCTGATTGCCTTGATCCTGAACATGCTGGGGTGGCTTCTCTCTCTACTGCATGACTTGAGAAGTCCCAGAGCAGAAGGTGTTCTGATAAAAACGGGACAGGCCTCAGCTAGAGCTCCTAGGGGGACACTGATGTGGATACTCTGTGTGACCAGACGGAGGCGGTGCTGAGCCCGGACTCTGGTGGGCCCCAGGCAGGGCAGAGCCAGTGTAGTGGCTCTCTGGTTCTGATGGTTTCTGCATTTACAGGTTCTCTTTCTCCAAGAAGTGAAAGAACAGTGGCTGTGTCCCTGGTGGCCTTGGTCTGGCTGCCTGTAGGCAGGGGTGGAGGGTGTGGGAGGGTGGGATGAGACTCCTGTGGGTGGGGGGGAGGCAGGGGAGGGGCTGGGTGGGCTGCACTGGGCATGAGCTGCCCTGTGGTGGGGCCATGGCCCTGCTCTTGCCCCCCACCTCCCTTCTTCCGCTCTCGGGCTACACCACACAAATCTCCCTCCCTCAGCACTTCGGAGGAAGTGCACAGAGGAGGTGCTATCAGGAGCAGCCTCTCTGGCTAGGAGCAGCCTGAGACCCAAGAGCCAAAGCCCCCAGGGACTCACTGCCAAGCGAGGTGTGAAGAGGAGCGAGGCCCTCTCAGCACTCGGGGGCAATGCTTTCAACCTCACTGCCACCCCACCCCCAGGGCTCCTTCCTGGGGCAGAGGTCTGGGGGTCATGAAGCTTCCCTCTCCCTCTGCCCTTTCCTTTATGTTCACTGTTCACCTGGCCAACAGCTTTCTTACATAAACTGTAAGGGATGAAATTTGACTCTGACAGGGTCCCTGGCCTGCAGGGTAGACAACACTGGGAAGAAGAGATGAGAGCCCTAGAAGAGGCCAGGCGGGAGGGCTGGACCTGCCTGCGGGGTGCGAAAGGTGAGGCACAGCACTTTGCACAGCACATCACGGGTGCCCAGAGGCAGCCACAGGTGTGACAGCTGACCAGGGTGTAAATGTCACACAGGCCTGGGGGTAGGCACAGAGCCCGAGCTGGTACCTACCAGAGCAGGACCCAGTGTCCTGTGATTTCTGGGCCCCGCCTCTGACCCTCCAGCGCCCTGGGTCTGGTGTGACCTGCTCCTAGAAAGTCCTTGTATCTCTGGGCTGGGAGCCGTCTGAAGTGGTTCTAGGCTTGTGTTCACAGCAGATGCCTGCACCCCAGGATGCACTGCTCCCACTGACCGCTCTGGCCAAGCAGCCCTGGGATGTTGGCTTGCTTCTGGCCATCCACTCTGAGGGGGCCATTGAGCAAAAGGCACCGTACAAAGATGTTCCTCAGAGACTGTTTATATGAGCAAAAATAGCAAGCAACAGAATGTCCAAGCTCACTGCGCCTAGGCTAAAGTGCTCGTGGGCACAGAATTAGGGTGGACTTAGCTATGTTTGAGGAGAGGTTTGCATAGGCAAAAGATAGGAAAGAGACACACCAAAATGTTCAATGTGCTTATGAGCAATTTTTATTTGCCCTTATTTTTTCTGTTTTCCAAAGATGTATTAATGAACATGTTTTACTTGATAATGAATTAAAACCAAAATGAGGGCGATGCTAGTGTTTATTTTTTAAATGTGAATTGAGCATTTAGAGAAGAGTGACAAGGATGGGGAGATGTTCGGACACTGCTGTCACGAGGCTCTTTGCCCATGAGCTAATGACCCCGTGGCTGTATCCAGAGGCCCTGAGCTCTGTGACACGGGAAACACCCCACAGGGCTGGGAGAAAGCCGTCTGTTAGGAATGCGGAAGAAGGCATTGGACCACAAACCCTGTGAGAGGGATCTTCCAGCCCCAGCACTTTGTGAATTCTTTTCAATGCTTCCCTTTGCTGGACATCTGAATCCTGCAAGCCTTGTCATTCCCCCTCGCTATCATCTGTGGATACAGAACTCTCATCCACTAACATCCACTCCCCATCTTTTTACATATCAAAGTCCAGCCACAGAGAGGATGACAGTCTATCTACAGAATATCCAGGTGGAAATATATGGTCAGAAAGAGAAAGGGAGTAAAAACTGAAGCCGGTGGATCTGTGGGCCCTGCTTTTCCTGGTCATTGTTCAGTCAAGCCCAGCTCCTTACTCAGAATAATGTAACTAGCCATTGGCCTCTCCACTCATCAGCACATACTTATTGACCCTCTCATCATGCTTCAGTGGGCGGTGTGTGGGCAACACTAAGACAATTAAGAGGTGGTACTGGCCCTCAAGTAGCTTAGAGTTGAGAGCCACAGACATGCATATAAAGAACAGAGCTGAGGGGAAAGGCAAGCTAGGACTACAAGCAGTGTGGGGCAGTTAGCAAGGGGTGGCTCCGGTGCTACTGAAGCCAGCCAGGGAGCTGGTTCCCAGGGGAGCTCACCAGGGTCTGGACCAGAAACGTGAGACAGAGCAGTAAAAGGAGGGCTTTCTTGGTTGGCGCCACCGCACACTTGGACAGTGTGGCATGAGGGCACACAGCTGCTGAATGGGGAGTAGTCTCACATTGCTAGAATGGAGGGTCGGTGGAGTTTGAGATGGGAAGGGGGCTGGAAAGACAGGTTGCAAGCAAGTTATGGAGTACAGCTTGATCCTGGGGTGTCTAAGAATCAGTGAGGGTTTCTGAGCATCAAAGTAGCATTTCTTCATAGCAGCAGTAAGAAAGGTGAATGAAAGGCCCAAGGGAGAACGGACTCCAGGATACTAATAAGAAGTGATTGAAAAAGGTGATGGATCTCTGAACCACAGTGGTATTGGTGGGAGTAGGAATGAGGGCAAGGGCTCAAGAGATGTCCTGGAGACAGGGTTGGCTGAGCTTCACCACTGGGAAGGACAGAGGGCAGGAGCAGGGAGAGAACCAGAGAGCGTTGGAGCTGTTGAAGATGACTGGCCATGTGCCATTTGCAGACCACCATGTTCATGCCATGCGCCCTCGGTGCTCCCTCCGGCTCCGTCTTCCTGTCCCAAATAGCTCTGCCTGCTTAGGCCTGGGAGGTACTGGCCAGTCTGGGTTTTCCTTGTCTTGGAACCTGAGTGACTTTACTTCTTGCCTCTGTGTATGATCACAGTCTTGAGTTATTCCCTCTCAAGAAACAGTCTTGTCCTTTCCAACCAGGCCACACACTCCTTGGCGGAGGACCCGGGGCACATGCTGGTCACTTGGCAGGCACCTGTCAAAACACTACACTGATTTGCATGACAGGAAGGTCTTGAGCAGTAACCTGGCTTCCTCCCCCGCCTTCCCTGGCAGAGACCTCACCTCTGAGGACCAGATTGTGCTCCTGAAGTCAAGTGCCATTGAAGTCATCATGTTGCGCTCCAACCAGTCCTTCACCATGGATGACATGTCCTGGAGCTGTGGTAACCAGGACTATAAATACGGCATCAATGACGTGGCCAAAGGTGTGTCTGGGCTCCGCCTCTGCCCCCAGCTCCCAGACTCAGGCTTTACCCTTCTTGGGGTCATGGACCCTGATTGGGTACGTTAGAGACACAAGGCAACAGCAGGGAGAGAAAGATGAGCGTCCAGCCTGGTCAGGGTCAGAGACAGGGGCGCTGGGGTGGGCCGCTCCCCAGTCGGCCACAGCATCTTGCCATTGTCTCCTAGCTGGACACACTCTGGAGCTGATTGAGCCTCTCATCAAGTTCCAGGTGGGGCTGAAGAAGCTGGACTTGCATGAGGAGGAGCACGTCCTACTCATGGCCATCTGCATTGTCTCCCCAGGTACAGGGCCGAGCAGTGAGGGACTCAGGGCCCCCGGAGGTGGGACATGGGGAGGACAAAGCCCTGCTGGGGGCAAGCAGGAAAGTCTGCAGGGAGGAGTGAGCAACAGGAGAGACAGACAAGGTGACACCCACATGGATGGGTTTGTACGGCCCATATGGAGATTGTATGGAGAGGGGCCCCTCAGTGTAACCACAGGGGGCTCCTAGGTGAGATTCTGAGGAACCAGATGGATGGAATTTCTCAAGCCACAGACAACCTAGATGTTCCCAATATTCAAGCTCTGCTCTTATGTCACTGGGTGCAACTTTTCCTGACATTTGAGGTCTCCTGTGGGGTAAGGTACCAAACCTAGGGACCTGATGGATGGTTCTATCTGAACAGTTTACCAATTTTGGAGGCAGTGTGCTGTGGCCCTTGAGTTCTTCTGACTGTTTGGGGTGGGAAGAAGGGGAGAGGCTGAGGAGGAGGTTGTTGTGGTCCTGGGGGTGTTATATTGGTGATGAGGTCCAAAGGGCAGCTCTGCCTTAGCCTGAAATGGACAGGGACTCCTCCTACTCCCCTGCCTAGCCTTCATCCACACAATCATTTATTCACACACTTAGCAGTGACTTATTAAGCACCTAATAGGTACCAGGCTCTGTGCTAGGCATAGAAATTCCAAAGCAAACAAAACACAGACTTCTCTCCCATGAAGTACAGAAGGAGACATTAAATAAATACCATTTACTGACTAATTCTTACAGTAATGAGAGTTTTTAAAATAAAGAAGGATTTAATATTATAGGAGGGTACAAAGGAGGGAACCTGGTGTAATCTGGGACATGGAGACGGGGGTCATCAAGAGTGGCCCTTTTGAGGAGAGTCTTTTAAGCTATTAGCTGAAGAATCAGTAAGTAAGAGGCGAAGATGAGAGCTCAGGCAGAAGGAACACAGGTGAAGCCTGCAGGCGAGAGCACCGCACATCAGGATGTTGATGGAAGGATGGCCCGCAGACGGAGAGTGAGAGAGGGAGGTGGGGACTGGGCCAGATGAGCCCGTTTTGGACCTGATCTTAAATGCAATGAGAGGTGGCTGTGGGGCCCTCGGGAGGACTGTGACATTCCAGGTCGGCAGCCATCAGGGGTGACCTAGGAGGCCGAGTCTGGGTCAGCTGTAGGGGTGGTGGAGAGAGTGAACAGTGAGGACCCCAGCCCAGAGCTTCCCTGCTCCTGCTCCCACCTCCCTCTGTCCGCAGACCGCCCCGGGGTGCAGGACGCCAACCTGGTCGAAGCCATCCAGGACCGCCTGTCCAACACGCTGCAGACCTACATCCGCTGCCGTCACCCGCCCCCGGGCAGCCACCTGCTCTACGCCAAGATGATCCAGAAGCTGGCCGACCTGCGGAGCCTCAATGAGGAGCACTCCAAGCAGTACCGCTGCCTGTCCTTCCAGCCGGAGTGCAGCCTGAAGCTCACACCCTTGGTGCTCGAGGTGTTTGGCAATGAGATTTCCTGACTGGGGCCCCGGCAATGGTGCCTGTGCGGGGCTGGCCGCCCGAGCTCAGCCCGTCCTCCTCCACCCACCTCTCCACCCAGCCTGTCCTCTCTCCTGCCCAACCTAACACCAGGTCGCCCTTTCCTGCAGGCCACAGGCTGCCCCCCAGTCCCTTGAGACTTCAGTCATGAGGAGTTGCTGTCTATTGACAAAGAAACTGACGTGGAGGCAGGGGGCAAAGGGCAGAGGCCGAAGGCTGGACCTCCAGAAGTGGCTGCTGGCTGGTGCCTAGGGAACAGTCAGGCAGGAGAAACACACCCACTCCTCAGGGACAGATATACCTGTACCTCGACCCACTGCAGACCCAGCTGTGTGGGCCTGGTGGGGATCTCCATCCTCCTGCCCAACCCGTGAGAAATAACTGGCCACCCCCCCACCCCCACCTCGTCTTGCCCCCAGCCAGTGCCGTTCTGTCCCCGGGCAGCGGCCACCATGGGGCCCCTTCCCCCTGCCCCCACCCCCCACCTGGCTAGGGCTCTAAGGCCACAGGTTCCTCCTTCCCAGGCCCCACTTGCCAAGAGACGCTGATCTTCTTTCCGTCATGCTGGTAACATTCTCCCTGGATGCAGCTGTGGTGAGGGGCTTTCTCCCCAGGATGGGGCTGCTGGCCCAGAGCCCACCTGCTGAGAGGCCAAGGAGGGAAGGAAGTGGGGGCCAGTCCGTGGGGGCCGGGCAAACCCAGCTTCACGGAAGAGCGGCAGATGGCGGCTTGAGCAGCCCCGCCACCAAGCCCACAGCCCCTCAGCCTGAGCTCGGGCTGGCTGAGGGGAGAGCTCTCCCTCCAGCCACCACACGGCAGAACTGAGTCACCTCCGGGTCCTAGGGGAAAGTCCTGGTTCCTGGCTCCTGCCCTGCCTTACCTCCCATCCAGGAGGGAGAACCCGGGGCAGACTCCAGAGCCCTCCGGCCGCGGCCTCGCCCTAGGATGGCCGTAGGTGATCTGGAGGCGGGCCTGCATCTCCCGTCCGGGCACCCCACGTCTGCAGAAGCACTGCCCATTCAGCCCCCGGCGGGACCACATCACTGCCTGGCAGGGAGGGTTGGAGGAGAGGGCTTTCAGGCCGCAGCAGCCTGCCTCAGTGTAGTTCCAGAGGGCCACTCCCCTGAGATGCAGGAGCTCAAGCACCAACATGGCAGCGTCAGGGTGGAGGGAGAGCAGGCTGGCCTGCAGCTGCTGGTCAGAGCAAGTGCCTGGGGAGGAGTTGTGTGGGGCTGCTTCCTCCTTCATTCTCACTCCACCACCCCAAAGTCAGAAGGGGCCTTTCGCTCTGTAGCCAGTCCAGCTGAGAAGGTGAGGGCTCCTGTTCCCTTTGCCTTGGTGAGAGAGTCACGGGCATGTGGGGCCAGCACAGGGGGCTCTCCCAGGAGTCATAGAGGGGCCACCTGGTCATTGCTTGAGTTTGGGGACTGCAGCCACATCTGACATCTCAACAGGGAGGACTTGGTGTCAGCTGCCTCTGCCTGCTTCTGTTCCCTGAGAACCCTGGGAGCAGCCTGACATAGCACCCAGAGAGCCACCAGGCAGCCCCTGCCCGGTGCTCCTCCAGGCGTGAAGCTCTCTGACAGCCAGCTCCATGCTGCAGAATGCCAACTACGGCTTACCTTGCTTTTTTGATGTGTTCTCAGAATCAGACTCCATTCTGTACTATGTTCTGGTATAGCGGGTAGCAGGAACCACCGATGCAGGGATACTTATGGGGGCAGCGTCCTATATATTATTGTTGCTGTTTTACAAAGAGGCCCTTGTTTCATTTTACCTGCAGAACACATTGGTCCAGCTTGCTAGTCAGTGAGAGAAAAAGGCTTGAAAAAACACAAAACTACATCAACTCCCTTATTAAAGAAAACTGATGCTCAGAGGAGGACATGACTCAAGCAAGCTCGTGTAACTGGTTAGAAGCAGTGCCAGGATGGGCCAGTCTCGCTCTTGTCACTACACATTAGCACTCAGACCCCTCTGCCACTCTCCTTGTCCCCTGGGAGAATCTCTGCTTTTTAGAGCATATCTAGGTCCCAGACCCCTGCTTGCCTTTGCTGTGCTGTCACCCCACTGACCCATCGGGAGGAGGAATGGGCACCTCAGCCTGGCTTGCAATGTGCATCACAGCCCACCCCCACTGTGGCCCTGGCTGGGTGGGGTCCCTGCCTCAGCCGTGTGTCACGCTGTTGCCTTATCACTAAAGTGCATCTGTCTGTGGCACGTCTCCATCTTCCCACCGCCGCCTCTCCCTGCCTTCTCCAGGGAGCCCAAATGGACCCCTCAAGAGCAGCAGTTTCTCAACCCCGGGCCACAGCAACCCAGCCCACTCCCTAAGGGCAGTTGTAGGAGCCAGGAGGAAAAGTGGGCATTCAGGGGCTGAACTAGGGGAAGGTATTATCACCTGTTGTCTCCTCATGGGAGAATGCAAAGGTAGATGTTTAGAAGTCTACAACTTTTAAAGTATATTGTTGGAAACCCACAAAAGTGTGCACCCAAATGCCAAAGCAACAAGATTCTAGGAGATAGGAAAATCTTTCCATGGGCCAACTGGAAGCAAGTCAGAGAATCTAAGTGAGGCCAGCAGAGAAGACTGGGATGTAAGACATGAGCTGGTGAAAGCTGGGAATAAAGCAGCAAAGGAAGGCTGTGAAGAGTGCCCCCTGAGTGGTTTCCAAAGAGAAAAAACTGCCAAAAATTTGTCAAGTAAAAAAATTGAAGAAAGCTTTGTTTATGGTAATACAAATGGCTTATACTCACATAGCACTAATTTTGTGGAAGTACTACTGTAAATAAATGCAAACCAACTTGCTTTATCCTTTAGGCCTGGGAGAAATGGTCTACTATGAACCCCACTGGATAGGGGGATTACTTACCCAAAGCCCAACTGCTAGTAAGTGACAAAAGATGGGATTTGAATCCTAGGCAGCTGGCTCCAGAAGGCATTAACTAACTGCTACGCTGTACTGCTTCCTGCTGAGTTGAGGGCTCTGACAGATGCCAGTCTTGCCAGCTCTCTAATAAAGAGGATGTAAGGGAGGTTCCCATTCCTGAAGTGGGGCAACTGGAGGCCCTAATCTCAGGAAGCATTCAGTCACGTGTTGGGTCTAGTCAGTGCGGCACTTACCTGAGAACCCCAAGGATGAAAACCAGTAGCTGTTGACAAAAGTGTGTCTTGTATTCAAAGAGTTATGCCAATGACTTGGAGAATAGCAATGTCTCCTATGCACACCCAGGACTCCCAAGGAACCCAGGAAACAGGCACCCTGCCCCATTTCCCAGGGATGTGAGGTTTACGGTAAAGGGCAGCATCACAAAACACAGTAAGCAAAAATAACCAAGCAAAGGCTTAGTGGTGACCTGTGGATGGCAACATTGTGCCCAACTTAGGTGTTAGGGTGAGTTGGCCTGAGAACCTGTGGATGTGATTTACTTACATCTTTCAGAAGTATCTGAAAAGATTTCAAACCAAAGGCTAACCTGTGTCACTGTGGCATGGGATAGGGGTAGAAGAACTGGGACTAGAGCTTCAGGGCTATTTTATCATAAAAAATGAATGAACCTAGAGAAAAGAAATCAACCGCTGCTTAAATGGGCATGTCTGCTCCGCGGAAGTGTGACAACAAAGTTCTGAGAAACTGTCAGGAGAATCTTGTTTAATGTTTTATCGATGAGCTAGAGGAACACAGAATCTCCAGGGCTGAATGTTAACAATAAGCTTTTCTAGGTGATCTGAGAGGAATTTGCCCCAGGAAAGCTTCTAATTAGCATAAAGTGATTTTACGTTTCCACATTCCAAGCTTTGGTTCTACACTTGTGCTCTTCAGTAAGGTTCTCACTGTATGCCTATCTAAATTAAAATTCATAAAAGGTAAATAAAAGTAAATATTCAGCTCTTCAGGTACACTAGCCACGTTTCCAGCCCTCTGTAGCCCCAGGGCTGCGGAATTGGACAGTGCAGACTCAGAGCGTTTCCACCGCCCCAGATGGATCTACTGGACAGTGTTGCTGTCTGCAGCGCACACCCATGTGGTGATTGTAGAGGATGTGCCTCTGCTCATCTGCTGGCTTCGCCACTGTGTTGTTTGGCACTGAATGGAAGGTATGAAGGGAATATCCTCTCTCTTTGTCAAGCAATACCGTGCCCAGACTGCTGTGCACAGGTCTGCTCCTTGAGAGAGACACAGAAGAAAAGCATCCCACAGGACCCACAGGGCATGGCGTTGATAGGCTCGGCTCCGTGTGGTGGAAGGCTGGCAGTATGCCAGAAAGTGCTGGTTCTTGCAGCCCTGGGGACAGCACACACATGACCAGCCCGCAGCGGTCAGAGCCCTCCGGTCGGCATCTCCAGCTGCTGCCAGGGCTCCTTGGAGGCTGTCTACGTGGTGCGGAGTCTGTCGCCCTGTGGCTCCACAGGGGACACCTGGCACTCCCAGCGTAGCCAAGGGGCTGCATTGTCACGTTGACATCCTGGTGGTGGTGGTGCTCGCTGTGGGCAAGGCTGTGAAGCTCAGGCTGACAGAGGAGCACAGTGGGCCTGTGGGGCAGTGGCTGAGGGGCAGGGGGAAGCAGGGGGTTCTGCGCCAGCCAACTGCTCTGAATCTCTGTATTCAGACATGTCATATATCATACACAAAATGAAGGTAGATGGAAGTGCAGGGAGTTTATTGGGGAGAGGTCTTGGGACCACCAGCTTTGTTGGCAGGGAAGGAAATAGGGTCAGGTAGAGGGACAAGTTGGGCTGCAGTGCAATTCCAGCCTAGGTCCAGCAAACCCTTACGGGGGAGTTCTCAGCTGAGGTGGTGCTTCAGTATGCCCCCATGCTGGGGGGACAGATGTTACGCTGCTGTGCCAGCCAGTCACTGGAAGCAGCAGTCCCCAGCAAGAGTGTGACCTTGATGAGACCTTGAGTTAGCTGGCTCTTTTTAGCCAAGGTGGGTAGGACGGGGCAATATTTCTTCACATTTGTGCAGCCAGGCAGGCCCTTTCAGAGTGGGCCGCTCTGCCCTGGGGAGGGGCCAGAAGGCTTGCAGGCCCTTCCTGTTGGCTGGGGACGGGAGAGCAACGGCCCCTGGAGACCCTGCAGAGGAGCGTGTTCCCAGCCTCTCCCCAGCTCTGGACTCCATGGTTTTCCACCAGGTCATCTTGAGCTTTGCCACTGGACAGTCCTGCTTTCTCACAGGGACAGGTTTGAGCTCCAAGCTTGGCCTCCATGTCCCCTCACTCCACCTGCCACTCCCACTGTATCTCTGCAAAGACAACTGAGATACAGCAAAGCCCAAGTTCCTGCCCTCTCCTTGTGCCAGTGACCAAGCAGGATGGATAGGGGGCCCACTCTCTGGTTCTCCAGGCAATCTCTGGGGCCACGGCCAGGGACACCTGGCTTTGCAGCTTAGCCGAGGGCTCCCCACAGCCGAGCTCTCGTGCCTGGTGCCTTGGGGCACCTTCCGTGCTGGCCCCAGGTCCCTCTGAGGTGTGGCCTGGCTGTGCAGTCCTGGCTTCCTAGACACAGCCAGGAGCAGAGCGCAGTGCTGGGGGGAAGCAGTGAGGGAGACATCCACTGCCCAGTGGGAGGACGCAGGCCCATGGGCCAACTGAGAGACTGAGGCTGAGACAATATTAACGTGGCTTCTGGGTGCTTCAGAGTCACTCCTCCTGAAGCAGAAGCTGCCACATGGGGCACAGCAGTGTAGACTACCGGCTCCCTGTCCTGGCTCTGCCGCTTGTTGCCTTTGCGACCCTGGGATAGTACCTGATGTTTTTCAGCCTCAGTTCTATACAATGGCAACAAAATAATAGTACCTACTTCTAGGTCTGTTGTGATATAAGCTGTGCAAAGTATTTATCACAGTCCCTGGATGGAGCTGTAACTCAAAATGCTGGCCAGCATTATTACGAGATTACAGAAGGGAGGGATGGTCAAATAATTTTCACTGGGAGTTGATACTGCTCCCATCTCCTGACCACTGGTACTGGAACCTCTGGACTGGCCCAGAGGGATCTCTTTGGCCCCGCCATCCAGATCTCAGCTTCTGGAACCATGGGCCCTGTGCTTGGTGAACATCTGCTTGAGCTGGGGAGGGTGTCATTGTGCCATCTGGCCACCAGGGGGCAGGTGTGCACCTTACTAAACCAAATGGCCCCCCTGCACAGTGGGAAAGAGACCGGAAGGTAGGCACAGGACTGAAGCACACGAAGTATAGTTAATACTGTCCCAGCCTCTTTCAGTTATGGTGCTGCTTTGCCAGCATCATTGCCTCAATGACCTGACTCCACTGCAGGCATATCACCGACCCATAATCAACGTCAGTAAGACCTGGTGGGAAGTGGCTCATGCCCAGAGGGGAACCAATATGAGCTCCAAGAGTTGGGCTTGCTCTATGTGTGTGTTGTGTCATCATTTCTTATTCGTTTACCCCAGCGTTTGCTGGCTCTTGGTCCTTTGGTGAGGTGCAAAGCCCACCAAGACCCAGCCTGTCTGCCTGTCCAGGGTCACGTGTCACTGCCCACGCTGAAACTCCAGCCGGGCTCAGCCCACCCCCTGCTGTCCTGGCCCTGGGCCTCAGGGCCCTGCCTCCACACCGCAGTTCTGGCCCTGGACTCCTTTGCACTGCTAAAATTAAAGGCCCCAAAGAGCTTTTGTTTCTGTGGGTTATTAGACACCAATGTTTACCGTATTAGAAATTTAAATTGAGAACCTTTAAAATTTTATTAAAATTTAGAAAATTAGAATAATGAATCTATTCTAAGTTAACATAATACAATTTTTATTAAGAAGATAACCATTTTCCAGAGCAAAAACAATATAGTGGCAAGATGGTATTATTTTACAGTTTTGCAAATCCCTTGAAATTTCTGGCTTCACAGAAGGCGGCTAGATTCTCATATCTGGTTCTGCATTCCACCTGTTAGGATATCACACGCCACGGACCCCCGGGACACTCTTCTGTACACAAGTGAGAGAATGAGAGTAAAAAAGGCAAATAATGTCTTAGAATTACTATGAAAGGAGTTTGGCCTCACCGAGCCCCTGAATGGGGCTCAGGAGCCCACAGGGTCCCCTGGCCACTTTAAACTCACATCCTACCCCTTTCTAAGTGCTGTTTCCTTGGTCTGACATGCCCTCCCCTTGCTTGCTGTCCCCTAGTTTCCTCAGCTGGACAAACTCCTATGGCTCCTTCAGTTTCCAGCTCAGGCTTCATGTCTTTCACAAATTCTTCGCTGGACTTCCCCGTGCCATGCCCTCTGCTTGCCCCATCTGGGTAGAGTTGTGCACTCACTCTGTTGTGGAATGAAGCATCCATTGGGTGTGTTTTAAATTTCCGTTTTGCCTTTGGGGCTCCCTACAAGACTGGAACAATGTACGTCCATAAATGTAGCTGCATAAATGGATTAGTAAGTGAATATGAGGCAATGTGCTATTCACTTCTGTTAGCAAAGATCTGCTCTTCAAATAGATGTCAAGTTAAAATTCTGCTTGGGTCCCTGCTAGAAAATGAAATGCAAACAGACTTATGCAAATTTAAACACCTTCCCTTGAACTTTGGAAACTGAGAAATTCCCTGTGGCTTCAGACCCACATGCTCACTACCTCTCCCTAAAGCATTTGTTACATCTCCCTTTCTGTATGAGGACAGTTTGTTTTATGGACCAAAGTGCAGAACCTAACATCCCTCTTCATGTTTATCTGATTTGATTTATCTCACATCTTAACCTGCTCAGATCTTTGGAATCTTCATTTGTTACCCAATATTCTGACTGTCTCTCCTGGCCTTGCATCTTCCATCACTGGGTCTGCAGACCACATACAGGTTGACTGAGAC